TAACACTTTTACATGATTGCTACATAAGTTTTATCATTACCTATTTCAACAGGTACATTAATATGATTGATATAATAATTATAAATAACTAGAGCTGGAGTTACTTGAAATAAATCATAATAATCGAAATCAAAATAAAAAACGAATTAAAAAATTTCTATAAACAAATAGATTTTATAATATCTAAATCATGAATAAATATTATTTGCTATTTATTTTTGGATTCAATGTAAATAAAATATTTATATTTATGTTATATATAATATAATATATATTAATAAATTGTAATAATATATAATAATAGCGTAATTTTAAAATATTATGTTGTAATAATGTTAAAATTAAAAAGTATTTATTTAAAATACTATTATTTAATATATTATTAATATACTATTCTTTTTATTTTTATATTTCTTATATTTTAATGAAATATCAATTTCAAAATGATATTTATATGAATTCATATTAAAATATACATATATTTGAAATTCTGATATTTATTTAAATATATCTATTTATTCATTTTACTAAAAATCTATTTCTCTCGATCTATAAATAACTTTATTAAGAAAAAAAAATTATTTAAATATTTTATGTTACATTACATCATATTATTGTATATCGTTATTGTAACGCCAAATAAAAGTATAACTTTCACAATCACTGTATTTAATTCAATTTAAAATTTATAATTAATTTCAATATCATTGATGTGCCAAATTAATTAACTTCTGAAACAAATATGTATATTTATTACATATATATTTTCTAAACAAACATATTTTCCATAAGATATAATTTTGTATTACAATAAAATAAAAAAATATCTTTATCATTTCTTTGGAAATAATTAATATTCGTTTAATATCAAGATATCATGATATACAAAAGATTATTAATTTATTACATTTATTTATGTAAAATATTTATCATAATGAATAAAAACATATTATTCATTTAATACAGAATAAGTGATAAATTAAACAATGAAATTTAACATAAAAATATAATAATTGATAATAAGATAATAAGAAAGTAAGATAGTAAGACAAAAAAAGAATTGACAACAAGAAAAAGAATCAATTGAATATAATAATTTATTTCAACAAATAAAGAACGAATAAACTGGTTTTATCTGTAAACTATTTGTATTCTGAATATTTTTGCAATATTGAATTTCGTCAATTGTAATTTATACATTTATTTGTTTAAAATATTTGTATTGTGCAGAAAAAAACAATATGCATTAAATAAATAAAATATTATTAAATAAAATTATAAAATAAAATTTATTAATTTAAAATTAATTTTAATATTAAATATGTTTATTTATTATATTAAATTTTAATATTAAAATTAATAATAATATTAAGAAACAATCAATTTAATACATATGGTATATTGCAGAAATAATCTCTGGCGCGTCATAGTGTCCGAATATTAATGTAATCACTATATACAAGGTGACTTTTGAAAAATCAATTTTCGAAACCAAAAGAAATTTAAAAATTGTACAAAAATATCAAAATGAGAATTATTTATTAAGTTATAAGCCATTTAAATTTATATTAGCTGAAAAGAAACATAGATAAAATAAGATATCTTTATCTCTATTACACGTCATGTCATTCTGTCTCGCTTTATCTAATGCGAACTTAAATTACTCATAAATACTTAATAAATAAGCCTCAACCGATATTTTTGTATACCAACTTTTCTCTTTGTTTTTACCTTTGGAATCGATCTTCCAACGGAATATGACGTGCCTCATGAGCATATCAACATTCCATATTGTAACAAACGTGTTACTCAAGTCCAATTCCCAGATAAGAAAACAGTCGGTCATACAATCGAACAAGACACGCATCATTTTGTCAATATTGTTTACGCGTTATACGATTTTCGAAAGATATGGACCTCAAATAACGGTGGGATGACACGTGCCGCCATATTATCAACATAGAAGAACGCGATCGATGGATGACGTATAAACATGCGGGTTTCGATTCGATGGTTTTGGGATGATTTCTTATCGTTGCACGAGGTATACGCGCGTTCGCAACACGTTTTCACAATCAGTGGCATTGAGAACAGGCTGCCGGATACTAGTTTTACATCGCGAGTTAATCGAAGGCAAATGTGCATTGGATATGTGGAAATTTGGTGAAAAAAAAAGTATGTAAAATTTAATTATTTATATATATTTAAATATAATTTTCATAATATTATGATTGTAAAATAAAATTACAAATATTTTTGTGAATGTTATATTGTTAAAATTTTGGTTTAAACAATAGAAGAAAGAAATAGGAAGCAGGAAGAAGGAAAAGTTGAAAATTTTTCTTTTAATGTTCTTTAATGTTTTAACATTAAAGTGTGCATGGAAAAATAAGAAAAAAAAAAAAAATTTTTCGAAACTGAGTTAATTACAAGTATTAATCCTTTTTGTTTTTATTATGAGGTACAAAATATATTTGCAAAAATACAAAGTGAAAAATAAAAATTTCATAATATAAAATAAAAATAAAATAATAAAAATCTTGTTTTTCTAAAATATATAAAATATATATTATTTGTAAAAGATATTGTAATATGTTGATATTGTACAATTTTTTTTAAAAAATTGTAAAAATTTATAAATTGAAAAACTAAAATAGTTATTTTTAAAATTTACAAAATAAAAATTAAACAATTGAATAAATTTTTTTTTAAATTCAAATTACTAATTAAAGAGAGGAAAGAAGAAGAGAAAGAATAGAGCAAAAAAAAAACTTAGAAGAAAACAAAAGAAAAATCTTGAAGAAATTATTGCCAGACTAAAAAAAATAAATTATTGCATACTTGTTTTCATAATGAATCCATAAAAAATCATCAAGCATTACTAATTTATATACTATTTTTCTGAATGTATTACACTTTCTCTACAAACACTGTTATTCAAATGTAAAGTAAGTCAATTGAAAAAGAGTTATTAAAATCTTTCCAAGACATTACCAAAATTTTCATTATAAAAAAATAATTCTACGAGAAACTACAGAGATAGAAAGTTCTGTGAAAGAGTATATATGTAGAACATACCGTATATTTATCAGTTTAGCGTGAAAGATTCCATTCTGAGAGAGTTGTAAGAATTATTCTTATCTTGATGACTAAAGAGAATGGAAGAAATGTTATTGATATGTGGAAAGGAGAATTACTTCAAAAAACAATTTGAATAGGAAAATTGATCTATTTGGTTATTTGAATGTATTTAAAGAATAAGTTATCAATATATATAGCTTTGCATCACGAATATTTATACTCGTACAATTTTTAATTATCAAATTTGATTTATCCAATATTATTGAAAAATTTTATAATTTTCTATAACTAACAAACTCGATTTAAGGAATGAAAAAATAAAAGATTTAATTTTTAATTTCGGCAAATTAATTTCATAATAAATTAAAAAATTGATTTAAGGGAATTTTAATAAATTATAGAATTTCTAAATTTGAATGAATTTTTAATTTAATTTTAATTTAATTAATGGGAATAGTCGTTTATTTATTTTAAAATTTCATTTTCGTATTCCTTTGAAAGGGATTTTTATTTTTGTTAAAATTTTTTATTAAAAGTTAAAATATTTTATTAAATGATTGATTATATAATGAAATAGAAACTTCAATAGATATTCCTATAGATTTCTTTTCATATTTTTTTTAAAGTAAAATAATAAAATCGTTACAAACTTATATTTCTTATAAAAAGAGAAAAATATCTTTGCTTACGAAAAATTAGAAAAATAATGAAATTTTAATGTTAATCTATTTTTTATTATTACTCAAATAATCCCAATCTGAAAAACATTATTGATTGAGACTAAAATAAATGAAATCTAAAGTAGTTATTCCATTTATTTATTATTTAATCTTATATACATGATAATCTATGATATATTTCTAAAAATTAAGATTTTTAAAAAATAATTTTGATAATAATATAGCTTAAGTATTAATATTTCATTTATTCATTTCATTATTGAATTCAAGATTATATATATAAATTTAGAAAAATAAAATAATCTTTATTAATCTTAAATAGTGATATATCGATATTCATTATTTATTATATATACATTATTCTCGCTATTATTTATCATTACACTTAAAAATAATTAAATAAAATATTAAATATAATATAATAAAATATTAAATATAATATTAAAAATTAAATATAATATTAAAAGAGATATAATTTCTATTCTATTAATGCTTCCAATAATCATATTATTTTTTGTTGAACTTGATCTTGTTTGCTATTGCTCATCGTTTAATCACTTCAGATTCTTTGAAGTTTAACTTTTTCATTGATGACGATAGTGATATTTGTTCCGAGTTCGATTGAGATCGATGTTCATTCTCGTGACGAGATTCTTTGCAAATTTTACTGTTATGTCCAATAGTACTGCAATTCCAACAGTAAAATTTGTCAATATTATTCTTAGCATAAATAGTATCATCTTCATTGTTTAACATCTCCAAAACGTATTCTGAAATGTGTGAAGGATTGCGTAAAGTCATCATTGCTACAGACGTGAAACACATTTTCGAACTAGATGTAATTGTATCTTTTTCCATGTTAATGGGAAATAGTAATAGAATATCCTTTGTTCTGAATTTTGAGAAGCTTGTTACTGTTCGAAGACAGTCTGCTGTCTTTGGACGTCATTCGATGTTTAATGCTTCATATATTTCTTTCAAAGACGGCAATTCTTCATATTATTTGTTCTAGTAATCTGTCAAAAAAAAATTTAAAATTTAATCTTTTTCCATTTTCTTAAAATAAGATAATTTAATATTATTAATATATTTTTTGTGAATCATAAATTAAATGACTTATTCAATCGATAAATTTCCTTACCGATTCGTCTTCACGAATTTTTAATTGAAAAATTTCCTTTTAAAAATAGATGAAAAATTCTTCTCAGATCTCAGATTTCTTTAATTTTCTTGATAAGTCCGTAACGTTTTGATGTTTTATTTTCAATGCTAATTCCAATCCGATAAGTTTTTTTCACACTTCGCGAAAATTGAAAATAGTGGATTCTTGCTAATAAACGTGGGAATCGATGCAGCAGCAGATCTAATACATTTCTCATGTTAATAAGATCATAGAATTAATCATTGAAAGTATAAAAATCGAAAATCGAAGATAAAAATTGAAAATCAAGTTTATTTCTAAATGTTTCATCGAACAAATATAAATATAATATATAAGCCTAGAATTAACTACAATATGAGTTGCAATCTATCGACAGTATATCTCTGTCACCAGTTTCTATTATGAACCGGAAGGGTGCGGCTGTGTAGTTACGATTCCTTCAGGTTAGAAATGGTTAATCAGGTAAATTCAATGTTGTTAATTGCAATAGACAAACCGACGTATATCTAATGCCGGGAGTTACTAAAAATGTTAATAATAAACCTTTTAATGATTAAAATGATCGTTAAACTTTGAGCGACAAAGGTATACCGTTATGGATTTGCTGGACTGAATATTATAAATGAACTTCATGTATCATGAATAAGGTATATATATATTGAATTTTTATATTCATCTACTGTACTCGTCATATTTTGTTGACAAGAAAATTTTTCGATATTCTAAAAATTTAATATTTGTTGTCAAAAGTTTCTTATTGATTTATTTTCTATTATTCAAGATTTTTTAAAATGAAAATTTTTGTTTAAAATTTTATTATTTATTTATTTGAACTCCAATTCGAAAAATTAAAACTAAAAACCGATTATTTCTTACTGAAAATTACTGAAAAAAAATTGTTTTTCCATTTTTCTAATGAATATAGAAATTCGATTATATATATTATAAATCATACAATTAATATTATTTGATGTTGCGAAATTTATGAGTATCATCAAATGAGAAATTTTGAAAGGAATATTGAAATGAAGTTAAATTTCGATTCTGATAAAAAATCTAATTTTTTTCGATTTATTATTTATTTATCTGAATCCTGATTTAAAGCTGAAAATCGATTATTCCTTTTTTTCATTAAATTCTTATTAAAAAAATTGATATATTCATCTAATTCATTGTTCGTTTGTTCTTCAAGAATAGCAGATATAAATATTCTATTGTATATAGATATATTCTATATATAAATCGTACAATTAATATACAAATTGTCCAGTGTAGTGATCGCGATATCTACAAGTAAACTGTTATCAGATTATTTAATTCTTTTCACATAAAAAAGAAAAGCGGGAATCAAAAAATAATATGAAATAATATAATGTTACTTACTATATGCAATTATTTGAAGCGTAACTGAAGGAACTTTAATACCTTATATCGTACAAAACTTGTTGTTCAACTGACCCTTCTGAGCTCTTACAGTCCTTTTATACCCTAAAATTGGGGAAAAACGAATAGTAGAAATAGAAGGGAAACTATGACCAACATGAAGAAAAATTTTTCATGGGGAAATTTTTATTTTCCGTTGGTCTTGAATTTTCTCAAGTTAAGCCGTGCATACGATTTTCAAATAAGAAATTTGATTTGATATACATCTAGAAATAAAAAAAGTTTATATTAATTTATATTAATCTTAAATAGTAATATATATATTTAATGTATATAATAGATATTGAAAAAAATTAAATCTTTTTGAATGGTAATAGTTTAGTCATTATCAAATTAAAAAATATTAGAAATATTAAATAATTGATAATCTAACCATAGTATTATTAAATATATTAAAATAAAAAAATAATTAATTTTCTTTAATATTAGTAAATATAAAATAATTTTGATTAATATTTTATTATTTAAAAAAAGATTAATTTTAAAATTGT